TATTTTGCTTCCTAATCTTTTTGTTTTATGGGATCTAGACTTCCTATTATGTGATTGTTTATGTGAAGCACATCTTGCTAGTACCTTATTTTGTTGCCTTTATTCGTGACAACAATGGTGATACGAGAATGTATGTTTTATGCAACAAAGTTAATAAAGAAGCTAAAAAAGTACACTGATTGTTATATTACAAAAAATCTTCATCTTAATACAGTTCAAAGGAGAACTATTTTCAAAGCAAGAAATAAAATTATAATAGTGTTTAAGTGTTTGGCAAGAACTACAATAAAAACGCTGTAGGCATCTGCTTCTTTTTCGTGCATTCTCATTTTAAAAGGTCTTATTTGTAATTATCAGACAAAGTTTTCCTAATAACCATCTTCTAATTGACTGTTCAATTAGGCAGCTAAGATTTCTGATTAAGAATATATACTCTGAAGCCAAATGCCTGACTTTAAATCTTGTCTTCACCACTTACTACCTAGTTAACTTCATGCAAATTACCCTTTATATGCAGCCATTTGCACCTGGAAAGTATATCAGAATACTGACCTCAAAGGGTGTTTATGAAAATAAAATGAATATATAAACTGTCTTTAGACCATGAAACTGTGCTCATATCATATATCATCTGGTAGCATAGTAGACACCACAAGCTGGCTCTGATTACTGATTGTGGTAACTTCTGCTGGAGAGATTGTTCACCTGGAACCCCACCGGGGCTGGAGGACAGGGTGGTTTGGTGTAGAGCTAAGATTCTTTTCATGCTCTGAACCTTAACCTCAGGTGTATTTTTGTTGATGATAGATGTAAGAGGTTTACAGGACAGAAGCAATATAAGCTTTACCTTACTAGATGCTGGTTTGTAGAGAATTTTATTTGTAAAAGTATCATGGCTAATACTACATGAGTAGAATGTATAAAATACTATAAATGTTCGGGGTACTACTGCTGCTTTGTTTCACACATAATTGTACAATTATAAATTATGTAGCTTCAGAAAAACAGGTAAGTGTGTAAGACTGTATAACAGCTTTATAAACTTGAGCCCCACCTTGCATTCTTTTTGTTGGAACTGGTGATTAAACCCAGGGCCTCACACAGTTCTCGGCAAGCACTCTGCCAATAAGCTATGCAACCAACCTGTTAATTGGAATTTTTTGAAAAAGGATCTCCCTGACCTGCCTGAGATCTCACTAAGTTGCTCAGGCTCACCTTGAACTTGAGATCCTGCTGGTTCAGCCTCTCAATAGCTGAGAATACGAACCATGCTTGTATCAGATTTTTGAAAGAAAAATCACAGAGCCTTCTTGAGGTACAGTTAATTTCTGCCACCATTCACTATACAAATAGCTTAGAAATAAATGGTCTGTTGAAATCAAGCTTTCTAGGACCTACGACTAGAGATGGAACCGTTAGCATGTGAGATGTGCACATTTCCGTTGGTGACCTAGACAGCAGCAAATTGTTCAGCTGAGTGCTGTACAAACACAGTCTTCCAACACCAACATAAGAGTTCCTGTCCATCTTCTTACTATACTGGATGGTGCTGGACTATTTGCCAGGCTCATGAATTTGAAATATTGCCTTGGATGTTTATACATTTGTGTGTTTCTGATTTCTATTAAGGTTGATTATCTTTTCCAATATTTATTGGCCATTTTACTTTCTCTGTTCTGCATTGGCTGTGTATATCCTGATTGCCAGTATTTTTGTTCTGCTTGTCTTTTCCCTGTTGACTTAAGGCGTTTTCTGTGTATTCCTAATTAACCCATGACATTTATATAGGTTACAGATGTCTTCTGTTTATGGCTTATATTTTTACTTTTATGATTCTTACTATAATAGTTTTTTTAATATTCAACTATCTTTATGGCTTGTGCTTTTTATGTCTTAACTCTTCAGTATTATAAAGATATTTATTTGTCTTCTGAATATGTTTTTATTTTTCACTTAGGTCTTTAAGCCACAAGGGAGTGTATTTTGGGTATGTATGATTTGTGTAACCTATCTCAGAATGTAAAACTTTCCTTAGGTTTTATACTTTTCTGTAGTTAGAGCTAGTTTCCACAGTGCCATTTACTTAAAAGTTCCACTTTTATTTACCTCTGTCGCAATCCAGTTTCTCTCTCACTTGTACCCCTTTCTATATGCCCTACATGTCTGTCTAGATGTGATAGCAGAGTCATACCTGCTGTCATTCTTTACACATACCTTTGCAGTATGAGTTCCTGTCACGCAGGGTGGAAGCACAGCACTGTCATGATTCTTACTGTTCACAGTTTGGGCTTTATTTTAAAAGTCTGGACCAGCTTGAATCGTTACACTCTCATAGAAGCTTTAGGATCAGCCTGTCAAGTTCCTACAAACCTTTGTGGATTTTCATTTACAAAGAATTGTATTGAATTTATATATGAATTTGGGGAGAATTATCATATTTATAATGTTGAGGCTTTGTATTTATAAACATGATGTTTCCCATTTATCTTTTATGCCCTCCAATAAAGTTTTCTAATTATCTACATAAAGTTTAAGACTTAGATCTCTCTTGTAACTTTTGTTGCAATTTTTTTTTTGGGGGGTGGGGAGTTGGGGTTTTTTTGATGCAGGGTCTCACTATGCAGTTCAGACTCGTAGTGATCCTTCTGTCTCAGCCTCCCCTGTGCTGGGATTACAGGCATACACCACCACACCTGGTTCTGGGGCAGCATGTCTTACCAGGGATCAAACTTGGGACCTTGGGCTTGCCAGGCTAGTGCTTATGCAGCAGAGCTATCTTCCCAGCTCCCTGCAATTGTAAATAATGACATTTAAACTACATTTTAATTTAAATTGTTAATGGCATATGATAACTCTGGATTTTTATGTATTGATACTGATAGAAATATGCAGTAGCCTGTCTAAACCTTCCATTAATTTTTAAATACTATGTAATTTCTCCTATTTTTTATATAGATAGTATTGCCATCTGACATTGGTAGTTCTGTTGTTTAATGTTGAAGTTAGATTAAATTTTTCTCTTACCTTTATCTGATTACATAATAAATGGCATTGGCATCTATGAAAAGAGAAAATGAAAGCCAGACAGGGCACACACCTGTAATTCCAACACTCAGGAGGCTGAAACAGGAGGATCTTTGGAAGTTTGAGGCCAGCCTGAGCTACAAAGTAAGTTCAACCCTGTTTCCTTTTATTTATTTATTTGGTATAGGGTCTCACTATGCAGCTCAGACTCCTGTGATCCTCCTGATTAAACCTCCCCAGCTCTGGGATTATAGGCCTGCGCCATCATGCCAGTTTTGGTGGTCAACATGGTGTGCCTGGGGTTCTGGGGCCTGCATGGCATGCAGTTATGGAGATAGAACCCGGGTCCTTGAGCTTGCCAGCAGGTGCTGAGACCACCAGGCTATTTCCCCAGCCCAACCCTGTTTCAAAAAGACTAAATAAATAAATAGACTATAGGCCATAATTCCTTTAATTAAAAAACAAAGTTACTTGGCAACAAAGTACTATAACTGTTTAAATGTAGCACCTGAAGTAACAAATTTATACCATATTGAATGTTGGTCATTATGTAAAATTTTGTTCTGCTTTTTGAGACATGGTTTCACAATGTAGGACAGGCTATGTTTGAACTCTATATATAGCCCAGGCTGGCCTTGAACTCATGGTGATCCTCCTACTTCAGCCTCCCAAGTGCTGGGATTACATGTGTATACCACCGTGCCCAGCTTCAAATCAATTCTTAAATTTTAGGGCAAATAAATGGAAAACACCACTTGGGTTAGACAGATCAAAATAAGGTTATACTGTTAGGTATTATCACTGTCGTCGTTTTCTTCGTAAAGTGAAGTTGTTGTCAAAGTCACAATCTCTTCAGAGACTTTCAGGAGAGAACCAATTCCTTCTCTTCAGTTTCTGACGTTGCTGGCTGCCTCGCCTTCCCCTACATGGTCCCAGTCTCTACTCTGCCTTCTTATATGTCTATATAAAATCTTCCTTTGCCTTTCTTTTCACAGACACTGGTCATGGCATCCAGGGCCCACAGGATTATCCAAACAGTCTTGTCTCAGAATCCTTCATTGTATCTGCAAAATCCTTTTCTCAAACAAGGTCATAGTACAGATTCGAGGGGCAAGAGTTGGTATTTAGGGGTGGCCAAACGTGCCTACTGCACTATTCTAAACAATTGTATTACTACATATAACATCCATGCAAACATTCGTGAAAACGTGCAGTTCTGAGACCACGTCCAGTGGTCTCAGCTGCCCTCCCCTGACTCCCAGTTCTAAATGTGGTAAACTTTTCCTTTCCTTTCATAGCTTTTAGTATCTTAGTACTGTCTCTGGTGATAACTGTTACCCATTGAAGTTTCAAGTAAATCATGTTGCCTTTTAAAAAAAAAAAAAAAAAAAATGATCCGTCTTGATGGATTTAGCAGTAGTTTTATTGTGTAAATGTACCATAAATCATGTATCTTAATCATTTTGATTGTCTGGAGCTTTTGGATTAAAAAAAAATAACAATGGACCTGCCAGGCTAGAAAACACATATGCATCTCTAACCTTGGGTATGCCAAACCGTTTCTGCAAATAGCTCCACCAGTTTACACTCCCACCAGTAATGAATAAGAGACACCAATGCTCACAGTCTTACCAAGACCTTGATTGTTTTATTTAATTTTTGCCAATTTGGTGAATATGAAATGTTTCATACTGGTTTTAATTGTCTTAACTACCTTAAACATTCAATGTTCATATTCTTTCTAAAAGTTACTGTTTTCGTTTTCTACTTTTTTCTCAGTGGATGGTTATAGTTGCATAATCCTCTGGTACTATTCCTGTGGTGATGTATGTTTATAAGTACTGTCTCTTGAGTTCATAAGGGTCAAGAAGTATTTCTATATTATTTCTGTACTGCCACAATTTGTGTAAGATAGGAATTTTGAATTCCCTGGAGCATTGAGACCTAGAATTCTGTTTGTGGGATGTTTGTCTTAAAATTACTGATTCAGTCAGAGAGAGAGAGAGAGCGAAAGAGAGAGAGAGAGAGAGAGAGAGAGAGAGAGAGAGAGAGAGCCTTTACATTGAGTTACATCACCAGCCCTTTGCATTTCTTAATTTGTGACACGTCTTGCTAAGTTATTGAATTGCTCAACGCTCAGGCTGAGCTCAAACTTAGGATCCTCCTGCCTCAACCTCCACAGTTCTGAGATTATAAGTATGTGCCACCACACTTGGCCC